GGCGATAAATGCTCGTCGAAATGCCACTGTGGCGACGCTTGCAAAAATGGCAAACGTTCCGCGGACAATGACGGCAAAGAGAACGAGGAGTGTGGTGCTAGCGATGACAATAATCATAGTGCGTCGCAAGCCGCTGATCGCTCATTGGAACGTACACCGCCGAAAGAGAACCTTACCGGTAACAATGACGTAAGCAAAGATGCTGAATCTATATTTGTGAAGCCCAACCACGCATATCTCACACCGAAAATGGCCAGGTAATAGTTGCATGAAATTTGTTGTTGCTTTATGTATTAAAACTGCACATGCTTTCATTATTATTTCATCCGAAATTAGTGCATGATTCTATATTTGTTTGTTGTTTTCTATATTTGTTTGTTGTTTTCTATATTTGTTTCTTGTTTTCTATATTTATTTATTTTTTTTCAAAGGATTTAAGAAGTTGTCTGTTTTTCTGAATGTTTAGATTTTGTAAATATAGAAATGGCTATTTTTATAGCAGTTTTTATGAATTTTCACCACCGCTCCATTTTTTAAAGCTGAAAAATCGTATTAAATTTCTAAAATACGATTTGAATGTAAGTGCATTCTTATTTTAAACCTTATCCTGCGAAATGAGCGTTATCTAAATTTGTTGTACGCAAAATTTCCCCTAAATTTTTTCTAAATTTCCCTTAAATCTTCTCTAAATTTTCAAAACTTTTTCAAAATTTCAAAACTTCTCTAAATTTTCAAAATGTTCACTAAACTTGTTAAGTTCATTATAAATTTTAAATTCTCGAACAATTCATAATGGAATTTTAGGAAAAGCTTTTAAATTTATCGGTTATTTGGAGATGTGTGAAGTGCTAGAAAATTATTGCATATTTTTTAGGTGCTTGGCATTATTGGCTACTTAGCGAGTTGAGTCAAAAACACTTGCTGAAGACAGAGAATGTTAATGAATAGAGAAGGAGCAAATGTTAGCTGTACTAAAATGTTAATTACGATGAGGGAACATTGAAAACGCACAAGTTCGAAAATAAAATTTCACCATCCTATCAGGCGACGCAATGAATTACACCACTCTATAAGCAAAATGTATATACATACATATGCACAGATGTTCTTTGGTATGCGCATAAACAAAAATTTAAATAATAACGAAAGAAATTGACTTCTGAAAAGAAAATATATAAATAATGAGGGAAATAATATAAAAATAGAATTCAAATATCATTTAATAAAAAAGGGTTATAAAAATAAAAAGAGTATATAAAAATATCTAGTAGGATTTGAACTTAGGCAAAATATTTCACGTTGCAATAAAGAAGTGTGCTATACAAGCAGCACCACAGACGATATTCGAGCAAATTGTCTAATCTGTGAACTCAAACAGCTATTGTTGTTTACTTGCTTCAATGTTCATATATCTATATGTGAATATTCTTGAAATTGCCTTTCTTCATTCGCATGTCCAAATATATTTGCATATATTATATGTACACATATGTATATTCCTTAATATGTCTTTCGCAAAAAATCAAACATTCGCGCAAGTGACAAAAAAACGTAGACGCACCATCATCGGCCAATAATATTCAAGCGAACTCGCGGCTTATTTTCTAAGTATTTCATATTACAACGACAACAAATTCATTCATAAGGAACGTGCGTCTACTTCAAAGCAAAGTGCGTTCGTTCATAACTCTGCGCCGCGCTATTTTTTCTGTGCGCCTGGTAAACCACATTTGGTTTTCGTATGGAATTCCTACCGCAAATGCGTTTAATGAATGTTTAATTTAAATGGTCTCAGTAAAACGAGAAAAATTCAATTTTACAATTTCACTGTGACACTGAAAATCCTACCACTCCCCTCGCATTTGTATTTTGGCCACAAGCTGCCTCCCGACGATGCTAAATATCAGAAATTGAACAATTTGTCTGATGTTCCCTTCAGAAAGGAGAATTGGCAACATGACCTATTAGCGAGTTAAAATAATATTTATATTTTTTTCATATTATGCACTATTTATGGTATTAAATTAAAAAATTTATATAAAATTGACATGGATATGAAATCATTAACTGCTTCTATATACTCTAAGCACACTCCATATATTACTTTTATATGTTTACTTATTATCATTATATCATAGTTTGTCGATTTAGGCCATTTTATCTAAATACGACGCTATGAAAATGCAGCCTAATCGGTAATCGCAATATTTCAAAAGAGCATAAGTCAACTTTCAATAGCAAACCACTGCAAAAAGGACAAACGAGACAACATAGCCGACCGACATTGTCGTAAAATTGTCGATTCAAACAAATTTTGTCAACTCCGCCACGATGCGCAAAATTCGGCGTCAATATGTATGCGAGCTCATATGTATACTATATGTATGTTTGTGGACAAAGTCGTCATTTGGTTTTTTTCAACAACACAATGTCCGCGCGAACTCGCCGTTATTTCGTTGGCTTGCCACCATGCACAGAGGCGTGTCAAGTGAGGACTCTTAATATAATAATGTTGCTTAATTTGTATTGAAAAATACTAATGCATTAATGACTTATTGACGTAATATAATTAATAGATACGTAAAAATATAAATACACATAAATTCATACCTATCGTTTTTAAAATAAATTCGATTAATAAAATTTATCTAAAATAATTATGTGGCAGTGCGCCCCTGACCCCTTCTTGCTTGCGATCGTTCAACTTGCTTCTCGCAAAAAGCAAAAAGTGTAGACAAAAGTCATTGTTTGTGCGGGGCAAGAAGAAGCAAGCATCAGTGTACGTGTACGCACATTGCGTGGTGTATTTTTCTTTTTCGAAGTTATATTTTTCGTTGTTCCCTCATCTTGAAGTACAAATTAGTACTCAAAAAGATTTCATTTAACATTTGCTCCTTCTCTATTCATTAACATTCTCCGCTGAAGAGGAGTCTCTTTACGCTTCTTCGTCGTTTTGTTTCTAAATTCGTATTCTTCAAGTGATCGTAACGTCATAGCAAAGACATCGAAATTTTATGCTATCGAAAGATGATAACGCCCAATAACGCCATTTTATCTGAAGTTGTTATTTTGCAGAAAATATTCAAACCATTTTGTGAATTTAAGTACAATAAGACAATAATAATAAACCTCCGGTTGCTCTAGCTTCGCATTTGTTGGGTACAATTTTTTCATCTTAATTTTGAATTTTAAGACCTTCCATTCCTTAAATATACATATCTTTTGACCCTCATATTTTTCAAATTCTCTTTTGGTGTCGCTCTGTACACTCACACAGGCAAAAAGAGTCCAGCAACTCGAGTCTAGTTTTTCTGCATTACTTTTCACAAAACTTCCGATCCAAATAGGGTTAGATCACCGAAATAACAGCTCTTGGCCGGATAAAATCCGAGTCAAATCCGGTAACGTACAACCGGCTGTTGTGAGAATTGTTCTCTGAACCGTCCGTTAGGTGATGTCGATCGAAATACTTGCATTATATGTTGTCAAATAGGGCCTAGGTAAACTAGCTTCAAAGAATAGTACATAAAAAATAAATCCTGTAGTGTAGATACGATGCTTCTGCGTAAGGAATGCTACTAATTAGATTTCAGAACATATTTGTAAATAAAGCACATTTAAAAATTATAAATCACACATAAAAAAGAAATCCTTAAAAAAATAACAAAGATAAATAAAATTTATAAAAAAGTATATACATATATAAAATATTATTACAAAAAAAAATCTCTACACCAACTTGTAAACAAAAACTATCACTATCTCCACTAACAAAAAAATTCCGTATAATTTCCGAGCAACTCACGAACCATTAATTATTGTTTACGATTTGCCTGCTCGTAATGTTTACCATATGCATTTTATATTTTCTTTTTATATTAATAAACTTTTGATTTCCATACATTTTTAATTTTCTTGTTCAAAACATCGTCACTTAATTATTTCCACCTTTTCATATAAGTTGCAAGTACCACCATAAAATCACCACTGTATGTATGTATGGTATGCACATAAAAACATATTTGTTTTAGTTTAAAATAATAAGCAATACAAATCAGAAACTCATCCTCTATTGTTCTCAAATTTCCTCTATGCTTTCAGATTATCCACGATATCTTTCGATTTGCCTTCAGCCAAGAAAAAATTCTTCGAGTGAAAAACGTGTCAAAAAAATGTAAAATGTAAAAGACTAAATTTATGCAAAAGTGCGCATATTTTACGTGAGCAAAGGCAAATGTAATTTAATTTTCATCAAGCGCATTCAAAACATTGTTTGTCAAGAGTCGATACTTTTCATAAAAGCATCCTTATGCGCGGCTAAAGCGTTCCACAAGCATTTAGTAGTTAATAATAAAAAATTAAATTTAAAATTGTTATTTCGTAGGATTATACACGTATTTGTATTGTAATTGTATTAATCTTAGTCAAATGGAATTGTTAATAGTAAGTAAGCCTGCGCTTGCCTAAAATATGTGTAATTTTGTAAAACAAAACAACAGCAACAATAACTATTTAACTATATTAAGCGGTTAATCCTTTAGTTAAACAAAAAACAAAAAAAGACATATACATATAGATATACATACACACACATACACACACATATATATATATATATATAGAAATATTAAATTTCTTAGTTATCTGCAATTTGGGCAAATTTAAATTAAATCTAAAACTATTCGTTTATAAATAGTAAGTTACATACATTTTTAAACGCTATACGTGAGCGTCCAGTTTGTTTAATGTTTCGCATCATTAACTCGTTGACACCTCACCCCAACTCCCAACAACATATCCATATCTGTCAATTTGGTCATTGATTTTACCGTTTTATCGTCAGCATTTTTGTATTGTTACTGTATTTATTTTAAAATAGTATTTTCCTTTTTTTTTTGCTTGTGGTCTAGAGATCTACGTATATTTTAGTCATATAACGCGGCTTGACTACTCAAGCAATTGATTATTTAATTTTTTTACGTAATAAAAAAAAAAAAACATTTTTAAGTTATATTTAAAAAATCCAATCTCTTTATTCAAAATTCACATAACCACTATATAGAATTCACTCTCTCAAACCATCGGACAGGCATACGGTTGACCATCGCGACAGCAATACTCCCGCCCCGCTGCCAAATTCGTATTGTGCCATTGATTTCGGCAATTCTTGATGAAGAGGTAGGCGCGCTCCTTGCGGCAGTCACGATTTAGCGTTGCGCAAAGTATATTCGCTGAATTGGGCAAATGTTGCACTATCTGATGGAAGTTGTAGTTGCCGTAGTGGCACTTACTAAATAAAACACAATATAAAACATCACTTATATATACTTACAGTTTCCAAGCATTTGGTCTGGCATTGTTTCTGTCCGACGGTATTGCATGCAAATGTGCGATCCAACTCATTGGTGATCACTGGTGCGCCCTCGGGTTGTTCATTGGTGCCGCGTTTGATTTGTGAGGCTAGAAAAATGCCACAAGTGCATGGTATCGCTCGACTACCCTCTGTCGTTGTTGTTGTTGCTGATGTTTTTCTGTTTTTACCGGCTTTGGCGTGCGTGTGGCGCGTAGCCAGGGGGCGTGGCGCAATCAGCAACTCTGGCTGTGGCAAAGGGAAGAGCTCCTCGATGTCAGCGTTTGTCTCAGCGTTGCTCACTACTTGTGTGTTAATCGGCGCTTCCACGTTATCGTTGATTACGTTCACTCCTTGGCCATCGTGGTACAGCTGAGGAGCTTCTAAGGTGTTGTTCACCACTGGCGTTATATGTGGTAGAAGTGTAGCGTCTTCATACTGCAAGGACTTCGGCATGTAGATGGCAGCCTCTGCTTCGGCTTTATTATTGCCCATGTTGTTGTTGTAGCGAGTACTTAAATTACTCTCCATCGCCGGCTGTGGTGTTGTTGTTTCCCATACGCTCCATTCTGTGGGTGCCAATGAATGTAACAAAGTGGGCGTGGTGCTGCTGGTGGTTGTTAACATTGTGCTGCCGACAAGAGAACTCGCGCTCGTGCTCAGGCCCGTGTTTACACTGGCGACTGCATTTATTGGTGATTTTCGAATATAATCTGGTCTAAACTTATAGCGTCTCTCTTTTGTTGTAGTCAATTTGCCGAAAATTGGTTTCTTGTAGGCAATTTTCATAGTACCCGCCTCCACATCCTGGCTTAAGCTTAGTATCACCAATAAAATTGTAGTTGAAAATAGTGTTTTCATAAAAAGGCCCCTAAGATATACTGAAAAGTGTTCCAAAGCATTGTAAAAAACCTAATAAAAATTAAAAAATGCAGTTACCCATGTCGTTGGTGTGCTCCGTTTGTACCTTTCTGCATTCAATGTTCCAATAAAGTGCTCATTTCATAGTGTTAGTTGCTGTTTAAATACCATATGTCGGAGCTCATTGTTTTCTTTTCCCAAGTACCGTACCTTTAGTTGACCTAAGCATATTTTTTTTTTGCTACAAGCTTTTGTTTTTCTGCGCAACTCCGCAAGGTCATTCTGCGCTTTTTCTGCAGAACTCTTGGCCGCTGACTTTGGTCAAGAAGTTCAAGTGCAGAAGTTGTACTGAAAGTGTGTCAAGCTTGAGCGCGGAATTTAATTACATATTTTGTCTCTTAGCTCATGTAAAATCTTTGATTGAAGTTGTTGTCAATTAAATGGGTCATGACTGACGTATGGCCATTAAATTTAATGGAAAAAAAATTAAGTTTTGTATTCAAAACAATTTGTTTGAATAGATATCCGCAATCTACTTTCATCAAAAATTATAATTCGACCGGTTTTTGGGTGCTTGACCACAACGGAATTGCAATAAACTGCAAGGCTGATGAACTCGTTAAGTGAGGTACTTCAGTCTCACTAGCTGCAGAATGGGGCCGAGATTGAGCTCTGCTGACTTTTAACAGTTTACTATTGGTTGGTTGGGTCAGGCGAATTCGGTAAACGCTGGTAAGCTGTTAGTAACTGTGCAGTCGCAAGGTCCTTTTGGTCCAGCGTAAATCGTAAGTGGTCTAGTGGGCTTTTCCTCCTCAGCAAAGTTCCCTTTCAATGATTGTTGGAGTTCTAACTGGTCCAGTAGTGAAAGTTCTTGTAATGTAATGGTTTTTGTAGTGGTAAAAATTGTTCCTCCCTTAGTCGTCACGCCCAAAGTAATTTTGATTAATGCTGCGGAGTTAACGGTACTTGACATGATGTAAATCCGGATTTTTGCAGTCTACTTAGTTCCGCTTGTGGTGTAAATGGATATATTATGTGTAGTCTTAAGCTATGCAACGTCTGCATGACCCAACAAAAACCGAGACTGCAGAAGAAGGAATATGAGACTCTTATAGCACTTGTCGTCATAAAAACAGGCACTAAACATCATTCGTATAGATCCGAGCTACATATATTATCACGAATTGGTTGTGTAAACAGAAGCTCCGAATGCATTGAGTTTCCGCTTTCACGAACTACCTATTGATAGCCTCTAAAACTCAGTCATCTAAAATACTGGAACTCCGTGGTTCTCGTACCGACAGAAAACATTCTCCAAATAGTTTGAGATTATCGAAGTGATCCTTAGTTGGATATGAACTCGGAGCCGTTCCGGTTACGTGGACTAGACTGTCAAGGGAATGGATTTCATTTCATAGTAGGAGTCGGGGAAAAACCTTTCCGAGCTGTTTGGTACTAAAGTAGGACTTGGACAAGACAATAGAATAGATTTTTTTATGCAGAATAATAAGTGCTTATTTGGACTGTGAGGGTAATTGAGAAGTAAGGAACTTTCTCGCTGAAGAAAACTTAGCCCATATGCCATGCTAGCTCTAAAGATTATAAAAAAACTGACTGAGCGAATTTTTAGGATACTAACTGGAGGTCGCAGAGGAAGGACTCCCTTGTCTTGGACTTGGAGCAAACGTTCGAACGGAGCTAATAACACCTTCAATAACTGCCTCCTAGTGTGTGGCGTCCTGGGAGTCACACCACCACCTATAGCATAAGAAAATCTCGAGTTGCCTCGCGAATCTATAGTAAACCCTTACGAAATTTCCTTCTGGCTACTGCAGTAGGTATTAACTTTTAATTACCCAGAATCGACACCAACATATATTATCTATGGTCTGTATGCAACAAGTCCACGTATGACTCTAACCACCTCTTGACATGCCTTATGAAATCAAATCATCTAACAAAAGTTCCCTTTGGTCCAATCTCGTCGAAACAGAATGTTTCCTGGGCCTCCCGTTAGATAATTTTGATGACAATTAACTTGCGCCTTGCCAACCAAACACCATCTGAATGACTGTTACAAAAATACGGTAAATTACAAATATGCTAAGGTTTCAGCCTATAGTATTATTTCAGTGGTGGAGAGCTAAAAACTGGATATTTATGATATACTGAAATATTTCATAAACTAATTCCCGTATTTTAGTTAAGGGAGAAATATTTTTTGTGTTTGGTGAATGAAAATAAAATATTGTATTTAAGAGGTGCTCACATTCTGAAAAATCCGACTTCCTCGCCGAAATATCTGGCAGCACTATTTTCAAACTATGACAGTTCATTTCCAATGAAACAGCTGATTTTACCCACGAAAATCGCAAAACAAATTTCTGCTTGCCGGTTCAATAATTGTAATCAATAGCAAATGCTGCATTTTTATCTTAACAACTAGCATTAGATTATAGAGCTGATAGCGTTGGATTCTACAAGGTGACAAAGCAAAGAACACATTTATGTTGGCATATTTAACAGCTTTTGGTTATTAATCAGTTCCAAGAGCAAAGCGAAGGGTTCGGAAGCTGAGATGGAGATACTGAAAGTAAGTGGTTACGAGGCATTTCGCAAAACTGTGGATAAGTTGACGCAAAACGGTAGCAGCCAAGTAAATGTGTACTTCACTGGCGAGAAGGACGAAACGGACAAGAGCTGGTGCCCTGACTGCAATGAAGGTGAGTTGCTTGTGAATATGTTGTATCTGCACTTGTGAATATTTGAATTTATTTTTATTCTTACATCTTCTATACTTTTATTCTTTACAAAGCTGAACCATTTGTGCTCTCCGCTCTGAATGAACACGCGGATAAAAGCTCAGTGTTTGTTGTTGTTGATGTTGGACCGCGCGCATTGTAGGTTGAATGATATATTGTTTACCTTATTTACTTATGGTTATATTATTAATATTTTGAACAAATTTTTTCAGTTGGAAGGATATGCAAAATCCCTTTCGCAAAGACAGTGTCGCGCCCATCTCTGTAATACCCACATTACTGCGTTGGAAGTCGCCGGCTCGTTTAGATGGCGAACAATGCGCGAAACCGTCGTTGCTGGAAATGTTCTTTACCGCAGAAGTGGACTAAAAGATAAAAAAATAAAATTATTTAAACTCAGTTCATTTACAGGAAGCTTATTTTATTAACTAAAAAAGACGTAAAATGTAAAATCAAGTAAAAATAAAATATTTGCAATACTTTTTTAAACATTTTTTATATGACAGCATACTTTAATTACTATTTATAATTAGAGGCTTCCCAGTCTCCTCACAAGAAAATCATTATTCCACTAATCGCATCGCCTTACGTTCGCAGAGTTCGCTGTGGCTTCAGATCGCTTTGTTGTTGTGTAAAACTGGGTTATTAGTCACTTGCCTTCTGCTGCATTATGTGAACCAATTCTATTGCCTAACGAACAATTAGCGCTTTACATTAATAAAAGTGTCATTGTCCCATGACAGTCCAATTTGCGTTTTTTGTTTTTTTTTTGTGACCGCAAAAACCGCCTCTAACTTGTACATACCGACAGTTGTGCGAATAACCCTGACTGCATCGGAACATGCAAGATCACTTCCTGTTTATTTTTGGCATGTCGAATGTAATTTATTTCATTGTGTACTTTTTCTTATGTTCCTCTTCTATTTTTTGTACTCTTACAACACGTTGAAGAATAAAGAAGGATTGTTCACCTGTTGTTTGTGAACTTTCTGAAGTGTTTTTGAAAAAATCGAGATATACACAAAAGACATTGTTGTTGTAACGGTTACCTAATCCCCGTTTGGGTGATAAATTCCTGATTGGTTGTCGTCGAGGTCATCTAACGGGAGGCTCAGGAAACGAGCTGTTTCGACGGGGTCGGACCATAGGGAAAAGGGTGTTAGGTGAGTGGGGTGCGTTGGGCATGCAAAGAGGTGGTTAGTGTCATGCGGAGATTAATTGCACGCAGGACATGTGTTTGGTATATCGGGGTCTTTTCTGGATAAGTAGGAGTTTAACCTGCTACAATATCCAGAACGAAGTTGCGCGAGGATCACTCTGGTTTCGCGAGGCAACTCGACCTCTACGTCTGCTATGGGTGGTGGTTTGACTCGTAGTACGCCATTCACTGAGAAGGAGTCGGTGAAGGTGTTGATGGCTCCACTGTGAATGGCGGTCAGTGCCTGTCTGAAGTTCGTTGCGTCCGAAGTCCGGTCGGCGTACTGTCTAATGTCGTCGACGTAATCAAGGAAAGACCTCTTGATGTTCCTAGGAGGCGCCTTCGCTACAGGCAGGCGACTACAGGGGTGGTTTCTACGAAAACAGCTGCCGGCAAGCGACTTGAGGATTTTGTTGCGGCTCTGTACTTTGGCAGTTATCGCGGTCGTGTGAGGAGTGAAAGAGCACAGACTGTCCAAAGTGACGCCTAAAATTTTAGGGTTATTGACTGTCGGAATTTTTGTGCCATCGACTGAAATGTTCAGGTCCAGTCTGTACTCCTTCGTCCAATTTGTGAAGATAGTCGCTGTGGATTTAGTGGGAAAGAGTGTTAGATTCCTTGCAGAGAAGAAGCGAGAAAGATCGGAGAGGTAGCTGTTTACTTTTGAACACATGCCATCGATTTCATTTCCCGACGTCAATATCGTACAGTCATCAGCGTACGAGGTCACTGAAATTCCCGCTGGTGGCTGGGGGAGTTTCGAAATATAAAAATTAAACAGTAGTGGGGAGAGGACACCCCCCTGTTTAATTTTCCTAAGTTTGGAGTTTTGACCTCGAAACAGTACGGATGAATGCCGACCGCTCAGGTAGCTCATAGTCCACCGCTTCAGCCCTGGAGGGAGCGTTGATTGTTCTAGGTCCTCAAGTAGCGTTGTGTGATTGACTGTGTCAAAAGCTTTTGACAAGTCCAACGCTACGAGGATCGTCCACTCGCAGGGTGGCTTCTGGTTCAGGCCATGAACTATCTGGGCGTTTATGACGCTAAGGGCTGTGTTGGTACTGTGCACTTTCCGGAACCCATGCTGATGTTCTGCTAGACTAAGGCATTGTATTGTTGTCCGGTTTCGTCTTGCAAATGCATTGTATTGCATTGTACAGTTTATCTAAAAAGTGGTTTCATTCGAAACTACACAAAGTCCTATAACCAAGGTAGAAAACTCCATTCGGTACTGCATCTACAACAATCGGGCTTACGTACAAATCGGGCCGGAACAAACTTGGTTTTACATACGTATAAGCAACCATTTACTGTCAACCTGACAGCAATGCTCAAAATTATTATGGGCATGTTTTCTGATACTACAACAACAATTTCGGTATAGAGGTGGAGCGAAGGACTTATGGTATTTCCAATTTGATACATCCACTTGCGGCTCAAGTGCATAATTATTAATTTAGGTTAGGTAGGGCTTTTTGTTGTAGTATCCGTTACACAAGCCTAGTTGTGTAGTAAACCATTAAGTGTTGGCGTTGAAGTCATCTAATGGGAGACTCAGCAAACGTGTTATTTCCACAGTGTCTGGCCATATGGAGAGAGGTTGTGTAAGTCTGGCGATTTTTGAAATGTATGTTAGTATTAAACACGTGTGAAAGATAACACACAGAGGGAACTCTAAATTCTGCTGATTACTGCCGGCTACTCAAATAGTTTCCTTGCCATATAGTAGCGTAGTAGGTTAACTAGGTAAATCGAAAGCTTAAGACAAGCCAAGTTTTAGTACAAACGTTTCCTTTTAGAATTAATTCTAGATGCGTATGACGTCAAGACCGCTTATTCGATCCACATAAACATTTGTTAAATAAGATTTCCCAGACGCCCTTTTGCATCTACTCTCCAAGTAACACTACTTTGATTTCCGTCATCTACACCGTGGTCTTTACAGCTAACATAAACAGTAACAAATACCCAATATATATATATATATATATATATATCTGTCCCGTTGAACTAACACCCTCTCCAAGTCGACTTGTACGAGGTGTGTTCAAAGGAAGAGGTGAATTTTAAATTTTTTTAAAAGTACTTATTTATTTATCAATATCTATTTTGTCCCCTTCAAAGTATTCCCCCTTCCATCATACTTTGTCTGAAAACCGTTTTCTAAAGGTGAGCTAAGTAGGCTTCACAAAAACTAATTCATCCTTATAGACCTGTTTGACATCCTTGTCTATCTGATTCATGTAAGATTCGAGCTGTACACAAATGTACTTCGAATTATTTTTCCATGCGGCATACCCTGTTCGACTTGTTCAACTTTTTTCCCTTGCCCATGTCCATCTCCTATAAAATGTCAAACGTCAGATATCAGATTAAACATTTAAAAATGAAAGTGAAACGAAAAAATGGAGTGAAACGAAATTTTGATTACACTTTTTTTTAATTGCAACACAACTTGTCTTTTTCGAACTAGTTCATTTTTTGTCTTAAACTGTTATTTTCATGAGTGGTTCTTTTTAAACCAGCTATTAGTAATTTATATTTTTTCCAACTTACCCGACTTCACTGCGCGGTAAATATAGTGTCAATGCTTATCAAATCGCACATATCGCTAATCACTGTTAAATGCGAACTACATATAATTTCCCTTAAATTCGGCGCTCAACTTGCCTATGCCCTGCTATCCCTTATCTTAGCTCTTATCACAAATGCTATAACCATAGTAGCCGTATCTCTACACATTCACATACACATGCACACGCCAACTATCGAAGCTTTCGAAGAGTCTCATCAAGAAATAAAACTCACTCAATTCACTTGAGTTCTACTCAAAGACAGGAGCGTACGAGCGCATTCGCCTTTAGAGTGTGGCAGAGGATAATTAACTCGGCTCAATGAGAACGCGCCCCAAACAGTTGCACTAAATTGCTAGCGTCTCTACACTACGGCGTGGCGTACTTTGATGCTCGGAGGCGATGGAGCGGCGCATCGCTCAACTCGGAACTGGTCGAAATGACAGCAATCATGTAATATTTGGTTGCAACGGCGGATAAGTACTTTGGACGTCGGGCAGAACAGACGAGCGTCGCGTGGCGTCGAGTTTTGTGCGTCCGACTAGTGATATTATTACTATATATTACATTATATACATTTGTGGTTTTGTGGCATTGTGTGCGTTGCCGTGTAACGGGAAATTTTGAGAAATAAAAAAGGCAATAAAAATTATTTTAAAAATGTCGCGTAAAAAATTCAAAGTAAAAATTAAACAATAAACTTTTAAGGGGTGTGAAATTGTGCGGCACGTAACATGGTATATAATGCCATGTATATACATATCTACATACCATATGTATAAGTTTACAAACAAGCAGTGTAAATATTCTGCAAGTGTTGCAAGTAAGTTTCGGCGGAGTAAACGTTGTTAATTCTTGGAAAATCGAAAGCGAGACATTTTGCTCAATTTGTTGTGTGTGTGTGTGTGTGCAATTGGCTCGATGTACATATGTGTGTGTTACTCTGCGTATACGCGTCTTTCGTGTTTATGTCCGTGTGCGCGTGGATTTAACTGTTGCGCTTTTAATGTTCATTAGATGCCTCTTTTGAGGTTTCGTGAGTTTTTGGGAATTTTGGGTTACGTTAGCACTGAAAATATGAATATCTAATAATAAATATAAAAAATACAAAAAAATTAAAAAGATACAAAAATTAAACAAAAAATAAAAATCAAACAAACAAACAAATAAAAATAAAAAAATAAGGGTTTAATAAAAAAAATAAATAAATAAAAAATAATAACAATATATATATAATAATAAAAAATACATACATATATAAAAATAATATTTTAATAAGAGTACACATAAATTAAAACACATATATTAAAAAAATATAAACAAAAAATAATCAAAGAATATAAATAAACAAAAGTTAAAAAATAAATTCCTTATTTAACTAGATATATAACAATAGAAATAAAATAAAATTAATTTTAAAAAAATTGAATAAGTAATAAAAAATTAATATTTTAAAAAGTATACAACAACAAATGATTTTTCGTAAAGCTCAAGAGCTTGACTTTGCTGGGTTTTATCACTTTTCACTTATTGTTATTATAATTTTTTTGACTAAAAATTTCTTCTCTAGTAAAAAATAAAATGCTCTTTTTATCGCTGCACACTTATTCATATATACTTTATAACCCATGTAGAGATTATTAAAATTAATTTTGAACGCAAAACACGCAAGCAATGCGTGAGGTATTTTTATTAATTTAATTTTATTTTAAAATTTT